TTGCGTATGTTTTTACACCCCTTCATGTATATAAATAAACTTCATTAATTCATCGCATCATTTACTAAATCGTTTTCTTTGACCCTACTCGAACTGAGCATCGAATACGAATGACAAAAATAGCAACATTGAGAGCAGCTTGCATCGGAGGTTGTCGTCACATTTCGCGTTAACTTATTGGTCACAGAGTTATTTATCAGTGAGTCATACATAAACAATCTAGCCTACTTTCTGTCACTTAGGTCAACAGCCGCGCACAAAGGAAAACTAAAAAAAATATAAAAGCTAATAGGAGACAATTTCTAACAAAGACATCGGTTGCTAAACTTATGTGTCGGTACAATTATGACGTAAGATCCATCAAGCGTCTTAAATAGTACGCATCAGTATAGCAGTTGAATGTCATCTATACTAAGAAGTATAAAGAGGAGTGATTCAATTGTTCGATTGTTTATATCGAATAGCCACCGAAATTACTGGATCGTTTTAAAAAAATCATTCACCTACGGGTAACTGCATCATACGGGGTTGACATAGGCTATGATTTACGCTAGCGTAGTGGCGAGAAAACGGCTAGTATTATATCATTTGTCAGTTCTGACGTTCCACAGTCGACGAGACGTGACTCATTTTCGTCAGAAATGCACTGATCAAGGCTTAATGCAAATCATACGGTAGGATACAAATCTTACAGTATAACATTTGTCGAATGTGCTTGGTTAATTGTTGTGCTTTATGCGACGGAGGTTAAAAACGAGACAAAATGTAACGGACATATACACCAGATAATTGAGATTGTAAATAAATTTATGCTAGGAATAATGTGACTCGAATAATTGTGCAAATTAACAATAATTATCTTTATTCGCAAAAACAATTTTGACGACGTACAAATACTTCGAGTTCAATTCATTGTCCTACTTTTATATAAAGAAATGTCAAATCGTTCTAATTAATAAATACATAGTTGATAATTAAAATTATTTCGAATGATTATTATTAAATTATTAGTGAATTTTTAACAGTTATAAATACTGTTATGAATCAAGTTTTAATTACTTTGCAACTAGAAGACGACTAATATTGTAAAGTTTGTTTGCATAAAGTAGGCTCCGGCACTATTGGATCGATTTAAAAAAATCATTCACTTACTGGTAGCTACATCATATGGGGTATAATTTACGAGTGCGTAGTCGCAGATACAGTAAGTATTATTCTTGAAAATTATAAAATAATACGTCTATTTAAAATATCATAAATTATTAGACATTGGTAGGGTAATTCAAAAAGTTATTAGTCCTATTATTATAATAATATTAAGTAACTTGTAAGAGATATTGCGAAACCGCATCAGATCGTTCCGATCGTCTGTAATGAACACAGGTCAGTGGACAATTGGACAGAAATACAAGTTGAATAATAATAATAATAATAATATTTATTTATTTACACACAGCCAAAAAAAATTTATGTAGTAAAAAAAAACATAAATATCACCACACAAATTATATTAAGCTATAAACAGGAAAACATTCAATTAAATAAAATATATACATTCAAAAACATTTCGCAAGGCGACAACTTTATAAGTAATTTTATTTTGTCATCGGAAAACTTACAGCTACGTAATTACCAGAGGTCGGAATTAGGTAGAGTTATTTATGTACTTGCATCGAAATGTTGATATGAATGTGGACCTTCCCGTGATTTCTAATGGACAATCTTGGACATCCGATGTCATTGATGTAAGTTTGGCAACGTCGTGCATGCAGTAGTTTAAATTGTGTAAAAGTAAATAACTTTTTATTTAAAAAATCACGGGATTTTTTCTGCTCTTTAAAATTGATCTCTGGATTTGAGGCATATCCTCTTTATTCTTTCGCTGTATGAAATCAGTGTAAGTACATGAATAACTCTACCTAATTCCGACCACTGGTAATTACCTATGGAATATTTATAATATAATACAAAATTGATAACAATCAAATGTTAAATTCAGGGTTAAGTTCAAGTTTCAATGCTTCGTATTTATTTTTTAGTTTCGTCTGTATTTTATGCTGTTATAGGTTGAAATGTTTTTATATCCACGAAAACTACCTGAATACCTAAAGAACGAAACAACATACACTCGATTTATAAGAATGCTAAAGAATATACTATTAAATAAATGCTATTATACAGTGAATGAATATTTGAATGAAAAGTTTTAGATAAAATGGAATGTCTGACCCTCTTCTTTCCATCTTTCTATATTGCCATGCCTATCAAGGTGCATGTGAATATTATAAACTGAAATTTATGTATTTAGTTTCTAAGTCACATGTATGCAATGCAATGAAATAAATAAATGAATGTCGAAACTTATAGAGCGCTAAATAGGGATTTAGAGCGCTAAATAGGGATTTAGAGCGCTAAATAGATTAAACACGTATTTTTTATATGTTAGATAATCAATAAATTAAGATGGTACATTGAGTTGAAATGTCGCATGACGTCACGCTTTAGTACATTGTTTTAATTAAAGCGAAAAAAAAACCTATCTAATATTTTTCTATTATCAGAGTGACGAACTAAATAGATTTTCTTTTTATCCCTATTCAGCTGAATCGTCCAGCAATTTGTTGACATCGGTTTGACATATCAATAAGTTAGTCAGTCGCTTTGAATAAATAAATGCATTGTAAAATAATACCTCGCGCTTGCGCGTTGCATAATAGTCTGGTTTTCACTGAATAAATAATTTATTATAAAATTCATATTTTTTAAAACATAAATTTGCTGAAGTATGACAACGAATGAGTGACCTTTCCTATCATCTCTCTCTTCCTTGCTGTAGCAAATGCCGATTCTGCGCGAGAGAAAAGGATATCGCTATGAAAAAAATGCGACACCGTGCTGCCAGATGCAGATTGACCCTTAATTTCAATGCACACTTAACTTGCAATGTAATTGTCCTTTTTTTAAGATAAAAAGATAAGTTTCCTAATTAGTCTATAAACACAAGTTATTAATTAAAACTACATCCAATCATACAATTCGACGACTTTCTGAACGAGACACTCGCACTTCGGTTCCAACAGTTCCAGGTACCAATTCGATTTCCGGCCGTATCAATATAGAAAATAAGTTTTTCTATACTATCTAAGGTGCGGTGGTGTTACCTTTGCCTTTTCAAATTTCTATAATCCCAGTGCTACTTCATTTGTGATCGGAGCATTGTATGTTATCATGACTATTATCGGCCTATTAATATCCCTAATTTACTGGGGCTCAGGCCTTCCCTATAGATGAAATCGAATCAAAAGGAATAAGGAGAATGGGCTATGATCCACATCACGGCCCTGTGCGGGTCGCTGGTAGCCTATACCAACGGTTTAACGTGCCTTCCGAAGCACGGAGGAACTCGAGAGCTCCTCATTTGTATATGACGTTGTCTAATAAATATATATCTCGGCTTACGAATTAATGTTAAGTATACAATACTAAGTAGCTTGGTAGCGTAGAGAATAAGCGCGGCCCGCGATCATTGTTGTTTAGCAACTTTCGCAACAGTCGGTCACGGGATGGGTGACCAAAAAATTATTATCTCGAGCTACTTCGTGCTTCGGAAGGCGCGTTAAGCCGTTGGTCCCGACTGCATTTGCAGTCGTCAATACCCTCAAATCCGCATTGGGCCAGCGTGGGGGGTCATGGCCCATCCTCCTTAAGGAAGGCCTGAGCCCCGGCAGTGGGAACGTAAAAGGGCTGATGATGACGATGATGATACAATACTGTTTGACAAAAAAAAATGCACCCGTCTAAAGCCAGAGTGATTCGCCAGCAATAACTTAAAACAAAACACTGGTTGAACTATTTCCTAAGATAGGAATGCTTTCTATCCCATCTTAATTAATCAATGTTCACACAAACGTGATCGCGGAAGCTAAAAAGTAAACGTGTACTAGAAACAACAATTAAATTAGTGCGTGCTTCACAGCAGTTGAACATTTCGCTTAAGCTAAATACGCTTTTAAATCTCATGATTAAATTCCATAGAGCCTTAGAACACAGTCTTATAAAGAAGAGCTATTCCGAGTAATTAAATTCCTTTTATATCAATTCATGAATCATAAAGATTCATCCTTAAAAGTGCAGTTTCATTAGTGCATCAAAGCTTTTCCGTCATTCCTACATTTAAAGACTAAACTAAATTAAATAAAAATCAATGTCTTTGTATGTAGTATGTAAACCATATTAAACTTAATACCTGCGGAAACGCTGTCTGTCATATTCATGTCGTCATTCCGATTTGTACACAAAACAGACGCTTACAGTATGTTATATAATAAATTTTAAAAAAGTCCATCAGCATAGCAGTACCATCTAACTATTTGACTACAAAATAATAATAAAAATGTAAATAAGGCGAGAACAACACCACCTAGGATTTTTTTTAATAATAAACTAGCTAGTTAACCCGCGACTTTATACGTGTAAATTATATCCTATGTAAACCCCTTATGATGTAGCTACCTGTAGGTGAAAGAAATTTTAAAATCGGTCCAATAGTTTCAGAGCCTATTTGTTGCAACCAAACAAACATACAAACAATCAAATCTTTCCTCTTTATAATATTAGTATAGATTAAATATCCACATGTTCACAAATCATCAACCATAATTCTTCTCATTGTAAGTATTGAAGAACGAGTTTTATCATTATTTAATTAAAAACTGTAAACATTTGCCAACAGCACATCCAACAACTCCTACTGTTTGGAGTTGATGGTGATTTCTGGAGCTAGAAGTACACCACGTAAGGTCCTGTTCAGTTGTGCCAGCGCGTCGGAACGGCGGAACTGGGCGCAAAATATAGCAGAGCATTTGACTATTGGAGAGCATCGAAATATACTGCATACACACGATGCGGTTGGTTTTATCATTTCTCTTAGTACATATACCTAGACATCTGTTTACAAGCTGAGCAAATAAATTTTTAATTAATATATAAATATAACTCACCAACGCATCTGGTCTTCCTCAGGTCTACTGTGCAGATGTCGGGGTCCTTGGTGGTGTAGTACACAAGGACCCTCCGGATGAGCATCACCCATGCCCCTTTCCACTCGCCGGTCACTCCCTCCTGTGGATTAAAATGAAGATATTAATAAAGAATCGTTTGAATTTGGTAAGGAACCTATATATACTTGTGGTGCGTCGGATTGGGGATGTTTCTGTCCTAATCACCACTGTACGAGGCTTACGGTCAATCAAGCTATGACGACTTTACCTTTTTTGTTGTGGCAGTGGAAAGTCTACTTATGCCTTCAGATCTCTCACGTGGCAACTAAATAAGCTGCCTATTGTTTATAGACAAATATTGCAACTTTCTCTAGTTTGCTGTTTGCGTCACGCCTAAATAGATACATACTTATATGATTAAGATTAATTAATGATAAGTTATCAGTTACGTCTTCTAATGGACAAATATCTTAACGAACTACAAATATATTTTTAAGATGTGTTTCGTCACCATTTCATATTCATTAATAATCAAAATAGGATCTTTAGTATTAGAATTTATAAATTTAAACAGCTCTGAATCGATGTTTCTGTGTGGGTGTATTATACTGGAACAAATCACAGCCATTTTTTTATGAACTGTTTTGATTTTACAAATTTGAGGGCAGTTGGACGCCATCTACCAAATGTGTAACATCATAATACAACTCATCTGGGCGACTAAATGCTTTAAGAGTGTGTCTGCTTGCGTTTCCTGTTTAATGTGATGTGGAAACTACATAAACTACATATATAAGATATACTGGACAATAAAAGAACGGGCCGGTGCCCGATCGAGGTGGAATTCGTCGATATTCTCAAGGTACGTGGGTGTATTATAGTTTGTTTCTACGTATTTGAACATCGATTCCCATCGGCAGACCTATCCAGGTCTGACCCAGTTGTAGTAGAAAACCACCAATCGTTTTTCTTTTGTGTAAGGTGGTGCTGCTACTACAAGATGTATAACCGATATTGTACCGACTCAAACAGCTGCAGCGAGAATTTTTTGTATTATAATAAGTATGGAATATGTATATTATATTAAAATGTCCACATTGACATATTATAAGAAAGAGGTTTGTACAAATAAAAACTTCATTATCATCACTTTCACGTCCCCACTGACTCAGACCTTCCTTATGGATGGTTAAGGAGGATGGGCCATAACCTTTCACGCTGGCCCAATGCGGATCGGAGGGTATTAACGACGGCAAATACAAGCGGGACCGTGCCTTCCGATGCACAGAGTAGCACCCATCCCGTGACTGAACCTTTCGAAAGTTGCTTAACAACAACGATCGCGGGTCACGGCGCTTACCCACTATGTCACCGAGCTACTTAAACACTTCTTAGTTATATTTAAATAAAACATAAATATAAAACCACATTCAGAAATAACCATACTGAGTTAGAAATAGGTTAACTCATAAAGTGATTAGGCAGAACCGCCTCGGCGCGATGTCATGTAAAGGTCTCATTAGTGATGCTATTTGTGGAAAAGCTGTTATTTCCCATCAAATATAATGTTCCCACATATTCGGAGAAGTTCATGGTTTATATAAATAACAACCTCTACATTTTCACGTGGATGTCAATGTGAAAACAATATTAATTAGACTCTAACTTATTGAAGGGTACTCATATCATCGATAAAATTTACTGGCCTATCTATTTAAGTCCCCTTTTAGATCGTAAAGTCTTTAACCCTTCTAGCCTTGTACAAAAAACAAAATATCAAAATTATCTGTAATTGAAAATGAAAAAAACCATGTCACATATTAAGTGAGGGCAAAGAAAGGGCCAAAACATGTATAAAACTTATCAAATAGTAATTTCATATATTTATTAATTATTAATAAATTCAAATATATACTTTTTTCAGCTGACAAATTTGTAGCAATTTACAACCAACTACCTGTATTCGAGTAACTTCTCCCGCTTTTATTATAATAGAAATGATGTAGCTTTGCCTCGGTAAAAGAATTTTATAATCGGGTGCTCACTTTATCTTCACCTGTCATTGTCTTAAGAAACCAACATATAGTCTCTAATTGGATTTTAGTCTAAAGATACGTCCCATTGAAATTATTGACAACTTTTATAATTGCTACTCTCTAAAAGCTCTTCAGCTTGCCACATGTGATCTAAAAAATATTTGTAATTTTACAAAACTGATATTATTTGAAAACTATGAAAATAAAACAGATTATCAGGCGTGGGATATGTCTGGCGTAGGCGAAACAAAATCTAAGTATTTTGACCGTCTGACCTGTGTGCCCTTGTGCTATTCAAACCATTGGCACCGGGACAGATGAAAATGATAGGAAAAATGGGCAACCCTTCTCATTCAAATAAGAGCTGCTTAAACTCAAGCCGTGTTTTAATAAATACAATTTTAGTAGGTGCATGTAGCATGCAAGTCGCCACAGGAAATTGTACCCTCGCACTTGTCTATAAATGATGTCTTTTGAAGAGGTTATTATTGTAATTTATTTTTTTATTGTTCCCAAAACAAATTCAGAATCGAAAGAAAGATGCTTATGGTAGGCATAAAAGTTAACAGACCCATGTTTCGTTAGTTCGGATGCATAATGCCGGACGGAACCATATCAGGAAGAAGTGGAAGGATGTAGAAGTCGGGGCAGACGTAGACCAAGACGCATATACTTAAAGACCTCTGGATAACTCGCAAGGAATTTGAATGAAGATAATGAATAAGAAGATAAAACTATATCGTATGCCTGTAACGGAATAGCACTGAAAGGATTTAGATTGTATTTTTATTTAAAACTAGCTTTCGGCCAGCGGCTTTTCTCGCGTTTTCACTAGGGAACTGTTCATTTAGATATCGAATCATTCAATCATGACATTGATGAGATGGGTATAATCATACATTTATTATTTTTATAGACTTCAATTGAAATTGAACAATTCTCCTATATCCAATGACAAAATAATATTTGATAAAGAGAGATAACAATAGCACTTCTGAACGTTTTGATAAATGACAGAAAGCGTGGAGGACAGTATATAAGGATATATTCTTTACCTTTCTAGGAATCTTGTTTCCATGAAGCATATGAACCTAGAATATTATATTCACAAGCAGTTCCAACAATGCCCACTTGGTTTATAAGTTTTAAGTAAAAGCAGATAAATAAAGAGCTGTTAGTAAAACACGTATAAAATTGGTATTTATTATTTTATTAATAAAAGGATATATAAATGAAAGGGATGCAGCGAATGATGTCTGTAAATACCACACATTGTGGCGTTCGGTCCTGTCTACCTACCCTGCAAGGGATATGGCGTGAAGATTTGATATATAGAGTCTGCGCGCTTAAGTTTTAGGGCGTCAAAATAAAGGTAACGTAACTGTAATTTATTTTGTTAAATGTTTATAAATTAAAATGGTTCATATTTTCAGAATATATAACATAAACTTGTATATCCACTAGTAGGGTAGGACACTACCCTATTTACCACGGTCGCCGTAAATGACTGAGAGCACTCAAAGCCGACAAGAAACGCAAAACAACGGCTGCCATTTTCTCCCTATTTTATATCATACAAAGAAGTTTAAGTAAGTTTAAAATTACTTAATTAAAATATCATCATCATCATCATCAGCCCTTTTACGTCCCCACTGCAGGGGCGCAGGCCTTCCTTATGGATGGTTAAGGAGGATGGGCCATGACCCTCCACGCTGGCCCAATGCGGATTGGAGGGTATTAACGACTGCAAATGCAGCCGGGACCACCGGCTTAACGTGCCTTCCGAAGCACGGAGTAGCTCGAGATAATAATTTTTTGGTCACCCATCTCGTGACCGACCCTTGCGAAAGTTGCTTAACGACTACGATCGCGGGCCGCGGCGCTTATCCACTACGCCACCGAGCTACTCTTTAAAATATGAAGTCACGTTATATTATATTAAAAATATTTTCTCAAACAATCAATATGCCGCTTCATACATATTTACATGACCGGTAGCTACTGGCGAGACTCGAGGTGATTCGGGAGCGAAGTGATTTAGTGAATACTGAATTCATTTTAACTACAGTCCGGTTGCTGAACAGATAGAATTTCCTGCAATGACGCGGCATTAGATATCCTTAAGTTTGATATAACGCTTGCACAGATGCAATTAGCCAATTTTGTAATAATAAAGTAAACTTAAAGTTTACGATGTACGATTGCGATTTACGATATACGCACAAAAGTCAACGTACCAAATGTTTGGTGACTGCATTCTGCTGATGGAGTGTTATCTCTTGCTACCGGGCCTTTTTAATTAGGATTAATTTTATCCCAAACCATAGCTAGTAAAATTATTCCATCACTAAATTAGGGCGTAAAAGGTCATTTAAAATATATACTGATGATAAAATTAGATATGTTATTTTATATAAGAATAACGTAACGGAAAATATATTAATCATCCAATTACTAATGCCTACGCTTGTTTGACACTATTTATGTAACAATGAGGTCACAGCGAGAGTCAAAGTTCAGTGATGAGAAAGCAATACAGTTATACAAATTAAATTTACGCATGAGACAGGATTTAGGCTCGGAAATAATCGAACATCAACTATGTAACTTATAAATAATATACTATCTATACTAATATTATAAAGAAAATTTCCATTGTTTGCTTGCATTGAATACCTAGCCTCCGTAGATCTTGGAGCGATTTCAAAAATTCTTTTACCTAAAGGAATAATATCGCGAGCGAAGACGCTGGAAAACAGCTAGTACTAATAAATATTACATATTTTTTTAAATTGTCAAATTCTCTCTATTATTATAAGGATAACTTTGCTTTGTAGACATTATTTAAGTATCGCAGCAATTTAAATATTCCAGTTTAAATAGCTTAAAATTTGCTAGAACAAATAATATATATTATATCTTGCGTGCCTGTGACATCATTTCTTATATGGTAACGGTCAGCTATGCACTCCCACTATATTACCTACTTCATGGCATGGACCGCACTGCGAAAAAATGCAAGTCTTTGATTCGTAATAGCGTAATATGCACACGCTGGCTGTACTAAAAACGCGAGCGTTTAAACAGTGCGGTCACAGCCTAAACCCACCTTTAATGAAAACATTGAAATTATTTTTAAAATAACATCCACCTCCTCAAAACATGAAAAACATCCACCTCCTCAAAACATGAAAAACATCCACCTCCTCCATTACGAAGAAACCGACGAAAACATTTAATTAAATTTAGAAAATACAGCGAATGAGTAAATTTTTAACAGATGTATTCAAACGGATGATAATTTTTAAGAAGTTGAATTTGTGGAATATGAAAATTCGCGATTAGATAAAAGAGAGCCAGTCTTAAAAGGGCTTATGTCGGTAACCGTCAAGTTTTTGATAATCAATGATTATCAGTGATCGGATAGGTAATGCTCATTACCCTAAACTTCGAAGAACAGAGACAAGAATCGAAGACTTGCAATTTGCAACGAATAATACAGTGGCAATACTACGTCTTGGATTTTTTTTATCAAGAAAATTTTATATATTATCCTTTTTGACACAATCAGTATACGCCTTGACATATGACGTATTTATCTCATTTAAAACTTTAAACCATATAGCTCTGAACTCATAACTCTTGTACATTTTTGTCACGAGCTCTCGGTCTAATCGCTACATAGTGTTGTTTGTTTAAGCGCCCAGTTAAACTTTTATGTAAACTGGCTGTAGCTATGGGTAATTATTAATTTATTAATGTAGCTACCGAAAAGCTTGTACTAGTTATGAAATAAATAGAAATAGAAAGTGTCAATTGTATTGTTATTATGATCAATAAATTAAACGCATGCTTTTTTGTTATAGTATCAACAACATATACATTGGTTTGAATAAATCTAAAGTATAATGTAAACTCTACTAATGTAAAGTAGGTAAGTATTGTTTGTTTGTTTGTTTTGAATAGGCTCCGAAGCAAGTGGACCGATTTAAAAAATCATTTCCGTACGTTACATCATACGCCATTGATATAGGTTATAATTTATGTATACGATGTCGCGGGAAAACGCCAAGTATTGTAATATTTTTTTTATAGATTCATTGACACTTAAAATCTCAATCAGATGATACGGGATGTTGGCAGAATTTCTGTGTATAACGGAACAAGGCCATAACTAAAAGAAAAAAATACTTGTGACGTCAACATCTTATAAATGTCGCACAGAAGCGACACAGACTAAAGATACTCGAATATCTAATAGAGCAAAAAGAAAGGTACGGATCGAATTTTATTTACATTTATTATAATTCTGATAATTCAGCACGCGTTGGTTTATGTTTTCATACAAAGAATTCTAAAATTCTTTTTAATTTAGCCTTCATCTGTGTGTTCCATTTTGATTTATTTGAAACACATTAAAAGTAACCCAACTCCAATCCACATAATTAAATTACCTTCTTATATAATCTTCTAGCATTTGAATAATCAAATAGATGCATATACCCTAATTGTGTTAGCGTTTGAATAACTTACTAAAATTCACAAGAGACCTAGTAGTCGGCGCGAATGTGTTAAATTCCAAACGATTCTAGAAGATCGATTATTATTATTATTAATGACTACAGTTTACAGCTGAATAAAGAACTATAATTTGAAGTAAATTACTGATATATTATAAAAATAAATTTTATACCGATTATTTTTATAAATAAATCAGTACAATCACAATAATATGCTACAATTTTGCTTATAAAATAATAGAAACATTTTAAATTTTAACATAAAAAAAAATGAAGGACGATCCAAAAAATGACTATATAACTGACCTTGAGATAACACCAACCGCATCGCGTGTATTCAGCAGTATATTTCGTGGGAAATCCAATAGTCAAATGCTCTGCTATCTTTTGCGCCCAGTTCCGCCGTTCCGATGCGCTGGCACAACTGAACAGGACCTTACGTGGTGTACTTCTAGCTCCGGAATTCACCATCAACTCGAAACAGTAGGAGTTGTTGGATGTGCTGTTGGCAAATGTTTACAGTTTTTAATTAAATAATGATAAAGCTCAATACTTACAATAAGAAGAATTATGGTTGATGATTTGTGAATATGTGGATATTTAATCTATACTAATAATATAAAGAGGAAAGATTTGATTGTTTGTATGTTTGTTTGGTTGCAACAAATAGGCTCTGAAACTATTGGACCGATTTTAAAAATTCTTTCACCTTCGGGTAGCTACTTCATCTATATATTGCCAATATATTTAGATGTGATTAGGAAACAAGTTCTAATTAAAAAATGTTAAAAATATTATCAACCTCGAAATTCTTGCTTAGGGTATTAAAATAAAACAACCATGAGAGGTCCATAGATGTGACAGATAATAAATCGGATAAAACTACTCAATTACAAAAGTGAAAAAAAAGTAGGCAACATGACCTTTGCTTAGTTAATAGATGTGATAACTGAAAAACATTAAAAAGTTTGTAGTAGGTCTTTTTTGTTATATTATAGTTTTGTTTATGACACATAAGTCCAAATATGATTTTAAGCTTGAAACATTATTGTTCACAACTAACTGTGCTCTAATATGTAAATAGCTTTTGATACCAGGTTTATTATATGCTTTGATTTTATATAACTATACTTCTTGGAACTCAATATATTTGTATGTATTAAAATAGATTATATAATAAAATTATTAATGTCAGTGTGCTAAAAGCAAGCGATCGTATCATTTACAATTATTTTATATCACATATTAAAACATCTTTAAATGTAATCTGTGAGTTATAATACACCTACTACCTACATGATAAAGCTAACTTATCACTATTCAATAAGAATGAAATAAAAATGTGCAACATAATATCTGTGCCATAAACTGATAAATCATGTTTTATTATTCAATGTCCACAGCATAAGACTTAATGACAGTAGATATGAATAGATTATGGAGAACATTTAGCTAATGAAAAGAATAGTTAAAATTTCTAATGAATGAAATCAAATATAACTCATATACATATTAATTAATCATTATTACTCACTCACCTAGATGATAATGGCAAAACAATTTGCAATGAATATATATTATCTAGAGTATATACTTCTTTTACAATGTTGTTTGTAGGGTCTGTATAACACACAAACTTTTGTTCCGACAGTACACAGTATCTGGTCTGTGAATTTTTGAACAAATCTTCTCCCATAGCAGGTACAATTCTCGTTAACATACCACTATAGTATGATATGGGCTCACTGTTAACTTGGGGCCGTTCGACAACTTCAACTTTTTGTACTGGTTGTTTTATAGGTCTCTGTAACTTACTATCTAATTTTAACATATTAGAAAATCTCTGCATAACAGAATTTGAAGTTTTCGTTTCATCCACAGAACTTTTTGTGTTGTTAGGTTCGTCAATAAACCAATTTGAATTATTGTCTTTGATAGTTGCAGAGGTGGTTGGAGTTTCAGTATTGAAAAGACTATCTGATCGTTCTGGCGGTGTAGGAGGATTGAAATATTCACTGTCTCTATAATCAGTACAATCGTCACAACTGTCTGCTTTTACAATTGAACCATAAGTATCACCAATAAGAAAAGATTCCAGGAGTATAAGTTCATTACTGACACCTTCATATTTCTGTGCAGTATTAGTGGTATTCAATGGATCAAATTCATAAATTGTACTCTTGCTAGGTCTATAAATATTCTCTTCCATTTGAGAAGTCGGTGACATATTAGTTACATTTGGTTTAGTAGGGTGAGGCAAGGTCCAATTTTCATACAGAGAATTTTGGCGCATGACCTCCATAGCGCTTTCTCTCTTTTTTCTTCTTTCTGGCACTTCAGGAGTGGATGTTGTGCTAACAATACTATTTGTCCGAGACAATCTTGGAGTATCATACATCATTTGCTCATTCTCTGAACTTAATATTGTGTTATTAGCATCTGATTCTCTGCCATCATATGAGAAATCACTGACAGTGTCAGTATTAGAATCAGAATTATTAGAAAACAATGATAAGTCATCTAAATGTGATGCATTTAAATGCATTGTTGGTAAATCCCTGCCTTGTGCTGTATCATTATTAAATCTTTTCTGTTCAAGAAGCGGTGAATGAAATTGAATGTTGTCAAAAAGACTGACATCTACGACAGGCATAGAGACACACCTTTGAGAGTCCTCTTCACTACTATCAACTCTTTTCTGTCTCCTCAACTTCAGTCCAGCTGTTCTAGTACCTTCAATAACAGACTTGGTAACCGAATCACGCACTGCTTTTGACGTAGTAAGCGTTTTCTCAAAAGTACCTTTTGCAAAACGAGATCCATCAATTAAGGATTTTTCGAGTTTTTCATTGGCGCTCTTAGCAGAACTTGTAACTTTTTGCGCTACATCTTCGCCAATTTGTTTCGATACGGAGCTTATAGATCGAAGGATGTCCGAAGCTGACACTCTATCGATATTGCTTGGCACTTTTGTACGTGGAAGAGGCACTGGTTTTTTCAACGGATCATTCTGAAGTGTCAATCCACTCCTAGGTTTCGGAACTGGTGGCGTATCCATTAGAGCAACATTCACTTTACAAACACAGTAATAATTCTTCAAGATAGCATTGTTATGCTACTAAATCGCAACACAAACAAAATCAAAGAGTGAGTCACTATGAACTTAACCACTTTGTTGACCTAATTTCCTTTAGGCAAACACTCAAATCTACAACTAAGATTACGTCGATATATTGTTTTATCGATTATTAACTAAAACCGAAAGAAACAAATGAACAAACGTAAAAAGATAAGAGTTAAATAGACAAAACACTACCGCAGTGCCAGCTTACAATGACAATGACGTATTATGACAGATGTCTTTTTATTATATTTTACGGCTCTGCGTATACGACTTTTCAGTTTAGTATTATATCTGTGGTACATAACATCAAAAATTACAAGCTTCATACTTACTTAAAATAAATAATGGAACAGATAAACAGTATTTCATTCTACGTATACATAAAAACAAAGTCTTATTATAACATGTCAAAAACGCTTTCCATTTTCTGTACACTGGGATCGCTGGAATCTTATAAACTACTCAATGGATTTTAAAGCGGTATTCATCAATATTCTTACATAAAGAGTGATTTAAGAGGAAAGTTTATATATGTATATAATATAATACAGGACCACTTACTTGCTTCTAAAGCGAAACCGCCGGCTGAAAGTTTAATAGCATTACCTAAATTAATAAATACTACTTATGTACTCAAAAAAATATACTTTTATTTTTGTCACTCCGAATTTTTTCTAAATAATGTAAGGGAAAACTTATTTATTCCTTTAGCTGTGAATGGATGGCAAAAAATCATAGTGGTCTGCACAAAATAAGTAAAAGTGGTATGAAATCACTTTTCTGATTCACCAACTTTACTTTAATGACATCCAATCACATCATAATCAATTACACATATACTATTTAAATTATGCGCAGTGGCGTAGCTACTAAGGGGCTAGGCGGGGCAGTGCCCCGGGGCCCCCAAGCTCAGGGGGCCCTCGAATCTTTACCAGAATCGAACTCAACTTTTGAAAATTTCTCCCATTTTCAAAATAAATATGACAGGTGGCAACTCAAGTTTAATCATGGCAACTCAGTTGTGAGAAATTCCAAAGTTATAAAAACGGAATTCCCCTAAATTATTTGTGTGGGGTTGACAGTGTTATTGATGTTTTCACCAATTTGTCGGATATCAATATCTGCATATTATTATTTATCGATTTTCGTTATTGTGATTAATGCGATTGTGAACTTCGAGTCAAGATTTTTTTCGAGAATGGTTAAAAAGTTAATGTATCAGGAGTAAGTAAGCGTATGTCAATAAATTTTTCGTACTGATCCATACAAAAGTTCAATTTTATTTGATTATAGTATGTATACATAGTTACGTAAAGAAATCTATAGATTTCGCCTACTCACTATTTAACTCAAAATACCTTGAAAAATATAAGCAACATGCGGTAGGGGGCCGTCCATTAATTACGTGATGTTTTTTTTGACATTTTTTAAACCGTCAAATGTGGTAACACTGGCGGCTATAAAATGTTTGCCGGGGATTCCCCGGCACCTACTTGAGTACAATATTACATAAATATTGCATAAATAAATTAGAAAACTAATATTATGGATAAAAAAAAAGAAACCCAGTGGTGCATTTAAACGCAAACAACGCCAAGAAAGAGAAGAAAGTAAACAAAAATTGCCCAAAATTGACTAGTTTTTTAGTCAGCCTTCTGCAAGTACTTCTGGACAAAATATTTATATTGATAATTTTTATAAATAGCTTGCATGACGATAGATTAAATAACAGTAAGCTGGTGCAACGTATCTATGAACAAAAAAAAAATATAATAAACCCTTGAATCTTTTCTATTTCGTTTTATTTCCCAATACCTACACCAAGTATTAAAATAATTGTAATTCATGTTGTAAGTGTTTAATAGTTTTATTACCTGCCCATGCACGAAAAAGAGCTGACGATAAATTTGCTTAGCATTTTTAAAGTATTTGTATATTTAATGATTTTACTTCAAAAAACCTTACCAGTTTTGATAGCAGTGGGCCCCATTTTTTTATTTGCCCCAGGGCCCTAGGTTACCTAGCTACGCCACTGATTATGCGCTTCGGCTATATTCGTCAAGCTTCGGCAATTCTAGTGTATTTTAAAGATATCTATAGAGAGTTGTTATTACATAATTAATCATTACGCTTAAACTTAGATTAGGTCAGTCAATTTAAAAATAAAAGTATACTGTGTTTCTTGCCATCAGCTGATACCAAAATGAAAACCCCAGATTAAAGAAAATCAAATTAAATAAGTTTCTGATACCAGTAAGTAGGACAATTTTTTTAATAAAATAATATTCATCAATTAATATAAATTTATCAATTAATCAGAATTTGATATGACTTCTATACCCAACATTTCAGACTCAGAATCATTACTGTCGCTGCTGGAATCAATGTTTAAAATGAATCTATCCGAATGGTTAGCTAACACAGGCTCAAATTTCCGATTACTCATCCTCACACTTGATAGCATGATCACATACTTTCTTCCATTCGTCCGGTCCTATCATGTTAACTTTTTCTAATATAAGTTCTTTTATCGAGGTCACATTCATGGCAACATTTGTTTTCGCTACGTGCCCCTTTGTTTGGGACCAAATATTCTCGATGGAGTTAAAATCAGGATGATATGGTGGTAATGGTAAAACTGAATGTCCATGCTCTTGTAAAATTTTGTCAATGGTAAATACAGCCAAACTTTCTTTATGAATCCATATAATTTTATATAACTCAGACTTTGTTAATGTAGGGTCAAAAGGAATATGGTTCTGCTCCAACCAAGCTATCATATCAGGTCGCCGTGTATTAGAATTAGGCGACTTAACCAATAACTGGTTATGGTATGGTGCATTGTCGATTTTAACCAATCTGTTTGGAAGTAAATTGAGAATCAGTTGATTGCGGAGCCAAGCTTGATATGTGTCTGCGTTTATTGCTTTATGATAATCTCCATCAGAATCCAAACATTTACCTAGTAGTAATGCACCAGGTACAAAACCTTTCTCATTACCTGCATGTATGATAATAATGCGTTCACCCTTGGAAATCGGTTCAATAACCCCCTTTTTATTTTTCTCAAGCCAAGACTTGCCTTTTGTGTGAGAAGTATGTACGTTATGATTCATCCATGTTTACAATATTTTTTTCCGGCAGCTCTGAAAGCCTATATTTTCTCAATATATTCAATTCTTTTTAGGCGTACAGCAGATTTTTCTGCAAGGAGACTTCTGTTATTTTCTGTCTTCATAAATCTAAATCCCATATCTTAAAGAATATTTCTTAATGTATCTGCACATCCTTGGAAACCAATAGCGTCCATTAGTTTAATATTTAAAGACTCTACAGCAGGAACTTCCTTAAATCTTAAATGAAAGTCGTATACCATGTTTCTAATCACACTGTAATCAAAACTGTCCAGTTTTAACCTGAAATTCTCCTTTGGCCTTCCTTTCTTAGGTGTGTTAAATGCTGACTTACCATTATTTTCTTTGTCCCTTATTAAATTTTGCAGAAATCGTCTGGCTATGCCAGTGGCTTTGTCTGAAAATGGATATTTTAATAAAGTTCAAGACCGCGTGCTTGAAATTTATTAAAATATCCATTTTCAGACTTTTTAAAAACATTAGCTTCAACATTAATTTAAATAGTATATGTGTACTTGTAATTAACCAATCAATTTTCACTTTTGTTATTTCAAAGAAATATTTTAGTGTTTAGAATCGTAATGCGGTTATTTCTAATTACTGTTACTGTTACAGTACTGTTACTGTATACTTCATACAGTAACAGTACTTTATTAGCAGTGGAGTGGCGAGTATTGTTAGTGCTATCACCAGAATCTTTATTAATTATATTTAGCGCGAACTTTGTAAAACATACATTTATATTCTGTACTTCTTTATTAGATACTCCTTGATACATGACAACTGTTCAAAATAAAATGTTTCTAAATGCACTAGTCTAGTCTTTGTTGAATATGTTATCATAAAAAGGAGTTTCTACTACTTCAACTCTTTCCCTTGTTCAACACTTCAAGACCTAGCGCGCGACACAATGAATAGAAAGTCTTGCTGGGTAACGCTTTGGTAAATACATGCGCCAATTGATGCGCCGTATCAACCCTCTCCATAGAAACAACGCCTTCGGCAACCAACTCCCTCACGTAAAAGTGCCGAATGCGGATATATTTGGTCCGTTTGTGGAACTCTGGATTATAGGCAAGGTGCACAGCTGCTTCGTTGTCGACATACAGTACTGGTATCTCGCTCAATACTGTCATCTTCTGCAGTATACGACTAATAATAATAATAATAATAATAATAATAATAATTTTATTGTCAAACTGTGTACAGTAGATGTTACATAAACGAGTCAGTTCCAACAGCTGCCCATTTCGGACATACAATAATAGTTATTCATTTACATAACACCAATATTCATTCAAATTATAAAAACATTTATCCAACAACCACTCCCTTAATCGTATTTTAAACACATTTCCATTAATACTTTTTAATCTTAGGGGCAGTTTATTAAATATTTTGACTCCAGCAACATAAGTGCTTTTGTCAAGTATATAACTAGAGGATGAGATAGTACATATGTCATGCTTATGTTGCGATCGAATGTTAGTTTTTGTCATTTGCTTTTCGATAAAGTACTCACTATGATTCTTAACAAAAACACAAATTTCTAATATATATATGCATGTCAAAGTTAAATATTTATATTTTTATAAATAGGTCGTATTGATTCCATACAATGAATTTTATAAATGATTCTTAAACATTTTTTTTGTAACATAAACGTAGAATTAACATTAACAGAGTTTCCCCAAAATATTATCCCATATGTCAAGAGTGGATATACATAACCATAATATACGTTTCTTGTAACGTCAGTAGAAGATACATTCGTCAATATTGATAATACATAACATTTTGCTGAGATTTTTTTGTTAATTTTAATAATATGAGACTTCCAATTCAAATTGGGATCGATAGTAACACCCAAAAAATTTATTTCTACTGCTTCTTCTATTTTCTTATTGTCAATTTCTATACCCAAATCTTGCACAACTTTTTTATAATTTCTAAATTGCAGAATCTTTGTTTTATCCAAGTTCACTTTTAGATTGAGAGTCGATAACCAAATCATCACAGTTTTTAGGGTGTTGCAAATTTGAATATTAAATTCCGTGTCAGTTAGTCTATCTTTCGGTATAAATATTGTAGCATCATCAGCAAACATAACACATAAGTGCCTAACTAGTAATGGTAATTCGTTTATATATATCAAAAACAATAAAGGTCCCAAAACGCTGCCTTGTGGGACTCCTATTTTATTATTTTCAAAGTCAGACTGAACTATAGTCATTACTTTGTTTTTTTATTAAAAGTGTTGAGAACTGTAGCTTGACATCGGTTTTTTAAATAAGATTGTAGTAATTTATGAGCATTACCTCGAATTCCGACATGTTCTAATTGCGATAAAAGGATATTGGGCATAACACAGTCAAATGCTTTGGAAAGGTCTAAAAATAGACCAATACATGTATTTTTATTATTTACCTCAGTCCAAATTTGTTTTAGTATTTTAAAAATCGCTAATGTGGTATTTTTTCGCTTTTGAAACCCGTATTGATTAGAATTCAATATGCTATGCCTCTCAAGAAACGACATTATTCTACTATAAATAACCCTTTCAAATAACTTAGCAAAATTAGATAATAGTACGATGGGCCTGTAGTTACCCATTTCAGTCTTGGAGTCTCTTTTATGTACAGGCTTAACCAAGCCCTTTTTCAGATCATCTGGGAATTCTCCTGTTTCTAGAGTCAAATTAATGATGTGAACAAGGGGTTCAGCTACAAATGGAATACTTGTCTTTATTATTGACATTGGTATATCGTCATGACCCGTGCTTTTTTTATTTTTAAAACATTTAACTATTTTTATTATTTCTTGCTCATTTACAGGAGTCAAAAATATGCTATTTAAATTCGAATGTGTAAGTGGTCTATATGAAATGTCAGCTGATAAATTAATTGAGGTGTTCGTATAAAAAATATTAAATTCTTTAGCAAGCCAAACAAGTTCTCTAGCTGCTTCACTAGATGCTACGAGTTCAGCTTCCGTTGTAGAAATAGCAACTGAAGTTTGCCGCTGACTCAACCATGATATTAATCCACCCGAATAGAGACAGGCTACACCAGTAGTAGATCTTGCTGTATCACTATCTCCTCCGTGATCAGCGTCACTGAATCCTTTTAGTAGACCAGGTAAATGCTGTGCTTTTATACTTAATTCCGAAGGCACAAGTACCTTTAACATAGCGCATAATCCGCTTTACTCGTCGTCTTTGGTTGGTGATTTTAATTTCCGAGAGGCAACACCAACAGCATAAGCAATGTCTGGACGTGTTCCAAGCATCAGATATGCGAGAGCACCTACAGCTTCTCTGTATGGAAACTTTTCCGTTATATCAGCTTTCCCTGCTTGAGGTGGTTCCTTTTCTATAGGTGTGTTTATGAAATTGCAATCTGCCATTCCGAAACGCTCTAGGATTCGGTTTTCATATGCCTCTTGGCTGATAATAATAGATCTATCTGAATCTCTAGATATTTGTAGGCCCAAATAATAATTTGCCGGTTTTCAGTAATTTGCAGTAATCTACAATTTCTTTCTCAAATCGTCCAAAAATGAGTTAGCCAAGTCCTCATTAGATGCAGCTACTAATTCATCGTCGACATACAATGTGATTAGTAACTTTTCACCGTTTACTTGCTTTGTATATAGACAGCAATTAGATTCACACTGTTCAA